CTAAGCCCCAGGGAGTCTACCTCTCCTCCCCTCAGGCACACTGGACCAGGGGTTTGCACACTCCAATATATTCTTCCTTCCTCTGTCTCCCTGCAGCTTTTATCTTCACCTGGAAATCTCTCCTCTGTCTCAGTCCCCACTTCCTTTGACAGCTCTTCACTGCCCCCACCTAATTTCATATCTCCATGTTACTATATACCCCTTAACTTTCTTCTTCTTTTAAAATTGTAATACATATCTATTCATTTATTTGTGTAGGGGAGGTGCGTGAGTGTGCGCTGGTATAGTTCACACATAGTGGTCAGTGAACAACTTTTGAGATACACAGATAGATAGATAGATAGATAGATAGATAGATAGATAGATAGAATTTTCATTAATCACTCTTCTGTTGATGGGCATCTAGGTTGATTCCAATTCTTGGCTATAGTGAATAGAGCAGCAATAAACACAGGGGTTCACATATCTCTGTGGTAGGGTATAAAATTCTCTGGGTGTATGTCCAAGGGTGAAATAGCTGAGTCATATGATGGTTCTATTTTTAATTTTTGAAATATTTCAAAAATTATTTCTACAATAGCTGTATTAATTCACAACCTCAACAAGAGTGAATAAGGGTTCTTTTTTCTCCACATCCTTTCCAACATTTGTTGTCAGGGTTGTTGATGACAGCTATTCTGACTGGGTTGAGGTAGTATCTCAAAGTAGTTTTAATTTACATATCCTTGACAGTTAGGGATACTCAATACCTTTTGAAACAGCTATTGGCCATTTGTGTTCCTGTTTTCCAAAGCAGCCTAGTCAGTCATTCTCCATCTGTTGATTAGTAGTTTTATTTCCTTTGGATTTATTTTCTGCAATCTTTGTAAATTCTGGATAGTAGCTTCTTGTCTTCAGTGTTGATGGTAAAGATTTTCCACCATTCTGTGGATTGTCTGTGAACTCTGCCAATCATTTCCTTGGCTGCACAGAAATTTTTATTTTCATGTTGTCCCATCCACTTATGCTTTGGAAGAAATTAATGAAATTGAGGATTAAAAAAATACACAAAACCAACCAAAGAGTTGATTCTTTGAAGAAGTTAATAAACTGGACAGACCCTTAGCTATCTGGCTTTTCTCACTAGTCTCTGAAGCAGCTGTGTATCCCAAGAGTTCAGACCACCTTTATCCCATGCTGAGACATACTCAGTTCATGTGTGTGGACTGAATGAAAGTGTCACCCTCACACAAATAGAAACCTGTTAAAACACAGTGCTCCTCTTTTGTGACATAGTCATTCTTTTCTCTTACCATAAGCTGGGAAAATTCACACTCACCAGCAGCAGAAACATATACATACATACATTCATACATACATACATACATACACACACACATACACACACACACACACACACACACACACACTCTTTTGTTGTGGGAGGAGTAAAAGAAAATGCTAGATATTGCATTTGTATCTAACTGTACAAGTGTTTCCTAGCCAGGATATAGTCACCAACTTGTACTTGTTGTAAGGTATCTGGGGCACCACACTAACACATGTTGATGCATATATGTGGCACATACACATGTACAGGAAGATATCAACATATATGCCTATGTGGACAGAAACCAATTGCAAACAGAAATATACAAATACAAATAGACTTCAGGTTCACTTCAGGATTAATGTAAAACAAAGATCAAAAATGATACACACAGGAGTACAGCACTTATTAGGCCAGGCATGATGGTGCAAGTTTTTTATCCCAGTACTCAGGAGGCAGAAACAGGTAGATCTCTGTGAGTCTGAAGTCAGTCTTGTCTAGAGATAGTTCCAGTTCTATGCCAATCAGGGCAACATAATGAGACTGTCTTAAAAGGGAGGGAGAGAGAGAGAGAGGGGGGGGGAGAGGAAGGGAGAGAAAGTTCTATGCACACAAACACATGAGCAAAGATAATGATGTTTAAGGTGTGACTGGAGAGGAATGAGGTCATATGGGGTGTGTGCTGGTGTGCTTTTGATTACATACGCTACATATTTACATGCATGTATTCAATATGGTGCATCTACATAGACATTTGCATCAGATTTGTGAGCACCCACTATGGATAGCAAATCTCCTTTTCACTGCTGAAAACATTTTGGGAGCCTGGTGCAGGGAAGCCATTAAAGTCCATCTGGGACATGCTTCTGCAGCACAGGAGAGGGGGATCTGCTGGTCTGGTCCTGAGCTTGGAAAGGAAGCCTCGCTCGGAAAAGATCTTAACTAGCAGAGAACAGAGATGTGGAACTATTGCCCCAAGAAAGGACTCCTGAATATGCTGGGTAAGTAGAAGGCTTGTCCTCTCTTAGAAGCTTGGGAAGGGAGAGCCCCCAGAGTCCCAGCCAGTTCCAGTGGGCCAGGAAATCCTGCAGAGGCTATTAATCCACTAAAGTCCCCTGGCTGGGAGAAAATCTGATTAACTCTACCTCCCCAGATGGGCTTAACAGTGAAATGGATATCTCATTGCTGAGAGTCAGATAAGGTAGAGAAACAGAGGAAGGCAGGTGAAAGAAAAAGAGGAGGTGGGAAGAACTATAGGAACAAGATATATGTGTGCACTCCTTGGCTCTGTCATTCATTTGCAGCCCAGTTTCCCCAACTGTATGATGTGACTCACTTCCTCTGTTCAGATGGAGGAGTGTGTCTTCTGTCTCTCTCAAAAGTGAACTAGGCAGATCAGCTCCCCTTTGACGCTAGAAACTGTGGTTTTTGTTTGTTCTTCCTGAATTTCCCTACCACAGTGACCCTGAAAGGAGACTTACTCTGTCCACAAGACTTTTTTCTAAGTCTTCTGAGCCCAAATAGTTTAGTTCCAGCACTTGAA